CATTTTTCAAGAGTTGATAGTATGAAATGGATGAATTGATTGAGAAGAAGAAGAAGAAGAAGAAAGAGAGAAAAGTTTAAAAAGAGGGAAGAAGAGAGAGAGAGAGAGAGAGGAAGAGAAAAAACCCGAGAGGAGCGGGGGAGCAAAATAAAACGGTAAAAAAAGCAAAAGGAAAATTTTTCGCTTTTTTTAAAGTTAATATTCCATGCTCTGTTTGATTGCATGTTAGGCATTTCAGGGGCATTGAACTAAAATAGGCCCTCACAGCAATTTTTCGTTCAATGGAATTAAAATGAAAATGAAAAGAATTTTGGTCCCTAATATAAAAGTACTCGAAAGTACAAAGGCAAAAGGCATTTTTTCCTAAAGAAAAAAGAGAATAAATGCTTTAAGGCTTGCGAAATTTTCTAAGCGTTATTTTAACTTCTAACATAAGAAATGATTGAAGTAAAAGAAACAAACAAAATATTTGAAATTCATTTAAATTCCAAAAAGAACAAAAGAGTAATTAGCAAAAGAAATAAAAAAAAAACATATTACAAATTAACATTTTTCATTTTATTGTTTTGTTCAAACTTCTTTTTAGGAATACAAATTTATTGTTTTATTTAATTATCTTAAACAAATTAAAAGGGGAAATAACTTTTTTTTAAATAATTTCAAAATTTAAAGTGCAATTTATAATGTGGCTTTTTGAAATTTCTTTTCACTTTTTTTTTTAATATTACACCTAGAAGTTATTGCAAAAATTTGTTATATTACAAATTAAGAAATGTAATTAAATGAAAAATTAGAAAGAAACTTAATTGATGGAATTTTCAGGTATTCAAATTATTAATTATATGAAATTTCATTAATAGGTAAAATAATACAATATCCATTTGTTATCATTTTTGTTATATCTTCTATGATTTGTTAAATGCTCAGTAAGTCTTCTTGAGAGAGAGAGAGAGAGAGAGGAAGAGAGAGAGAGGGGCTAAAAGGACAATTTTTAAACCAAATACTTTGGAATTGCACTTTTGAAAATATTAGTAATATCGATGCTTATTTTAAAAAAAAAGTGCGTTCAAAAGATGACAGCTATACTATAGACAGTAATATTGTACTACAAAAGATGATAGTAATATTATGGTACTATCAAATTGTAAAATATATTTGTAATATTATGATACTATAAAAGATGACAGTGATATTATGGTACTATCAAATTGTAAAATATATTTGTAATATTGTGGTACTACAAAAGATGGTAGTAATATTATGGTACTATCAGATTGTAAAATATATTTGATATTGTTGTTGTGATTGTTTGATAAATTTTTTACTGATATTAAAAATGAAAACTATTTTTGTCATATTTCTCTGTAACATAACAATTAAAGCATCTATCTTTAAATTCCTTTTTTTTTTTTTGTTTTAATGAAATAATTAATAAATGAAGTTTGAAATATAATAATTCTATAGTTGACAAATGAAAAGTAAAATTAAAAAAAAAGGTGAAAAAAGAATTTAATCTAAAAGTTTGTTTGTGAAAATTTTTAGTTGACAAAATAAGAATCTTATTTGTAAATTTGAAAAGGTGACAGTTCCTGTTGCACATCACACTAATATAAAGTACATATCATTTGTTTACAATTTGTAACATCCTTAAACAGTATATTGTTTTTTTGTTTTATTTTAGAAATGAAAAATTAGAATACTGTAAGTAAAAAATAAGGAAGAATTTAAAAGAAAGGAAAAGGAAAGTTTGAGATTTTTGATCAATGGATTATTGAAACTAAACAAAAATAAGATTATAAATTAATACTACAGTTAATTTTATTTTGTAAACAAATAAACAAAAGAAGAATTAATGAATTAAGTATGAAATTACAATAACAACAACAACAACAACAAAAACGATTAATTAACCTAAACAATTCAATCAAATTTTATCAATCGATCTGGTAATATGAATTTATATCTTACGATTAATCGATATTTTGTCAAATTTTATTTCATTAAATGAACAATTATATGTAAGAAAAGAAAATTGGAAATGAAATACTTATTAAATAATCAAAAGAGAAAAGAAATACTTATAATGAAATTTTTGATTTTATTTTTTTTCAGTAAGAAAGAAATGATTTATAAATTATAGAATGAAAAAATAAAATTCAGGTGAAATAAAAGAAATACTTCAAAATTGAATAAAACAAAGCGATAAGTTAATTGATAAAAAGAAATAAGTGTACGAAGAAAAAACTGATCCGGAATGAACACTGAACAAATAAAATATAGGAATAACAAAGAGGAACGAAACGGATTAGATTGGATGAAATAGAATGAATGAAATTGATGCATGAATAGAAAAGGAATGAAATATACGGAATGAATACATCGATATTCTTATAGATTGAATAACTGGTTAATGGATAAATTTTTGCGGATAATCAAAGAATGGTAACGGATAGATGAATGTGTTTGATAGATGACAAAAAATAAATTAATTAATTAGTTAATTAAAAAAAGTTGGTTGAATAGAGGAATGAATTTTTTAGCGAAATGAACTCTTCCTCAACAGCAAATAATTATTTTAGGTATGATCAAAAAAAAAAAAAAGGTCAACATTTGATAATTTCCCTTTTTCTTCTTCTATTTTTTCAACACTAAAATAATATTCTTTGATGGAACAGTATCATTTATTAATAATTTTAAGTGCATTTAAAGTACATTATCAATGGGTTGCATACTGTCCGATACCATCAAAACACAAATTATCTTTTTCCCTTATCTTTTTATTTTAATTTTCTGTCTAAAATTTTCTCTTTTTCATTTTGTTGAAAATCAAACAATAAGAAATTAATTTTTAATCTATTCATTTATATCATTCAATTAAATTCATTCAATGAATTAAATTATTAAACATAACAGAAAACATAACAGCATAATGGCATAATAAGGCTGGTTGTTTATTGATAGATCATATTATCATTAAAATTCATTTTCTATCTTATCTGATCAATTTATTAATTATCCTAAAATATTTCTTAAAAATTCTAACCGTTAGTTTATCGTTTTCTCTCTCTCTCTCTCTCTCTCTCTCGGCTTTCATTTATTGATAGATCATAATATCATAAAAATTCATTTTTAAATCATTTCTATCTTATCTGATCAATTTATTAATTATCCTAAAATATTTCTTAAAAATTCTAACCGTTAGTTTATCTTTTTTTTTCTCTCCCTCTCTCTCCCTCAATCTATTCCTTTCATTTTTTTTTCTCAAATTTAAATTTTCAACGAAATATGGCAATAGACAAAGGAAAATGAAAACTAAAAAAAAGGTTACAGTATGATTGATTCATCAAATTTGATACGATCATATTGCATAACCGATCAAATTACAATATTTGAAAAAAATATTTATATCTAAAATCATTTGAATGTATTTGAAGGAAGAAAATTACGAAGTTTTCAACAGATGGAAAAATTGAAAATGATGTATATTTACAGTATGAAAAAAAAAGAGTGTATAAAATTCAATGAATTTATAGATAATTTGGTGAGCAAAAATTTATTATATTTCAAATGGGTGGAGCGATATGAAGAAATTTTTTTTATCGTATCATATCATATTGGTACTGGAAAAACGAAATAAATTCATTATTGGAAGAATAGTCAATTTGTAAGCTTAAAAATATTTTGTATATCTTGATGATAGTTGAAGAGAGAGAGAGAGAGAGAGAGGGAGAATAAAATTGTTTGAAATTTTGCAAATTTTCAAAGTCCAATTTTTAACTACCAACTAAAAATCCCATGAGAGCTAAAATAATTGAAGACATTCTAAAATCACAACCAAAAAAAGCTTCATCGAATTTAAATTTCAAATGTTTCACCGAAAAATGATAAATGTACACCATCAAATGTTGTAAATTTTAATGCTTCATAATTTAAATTTTTTTAAATCTTTCCTTTCCTTTTTTTGCTCTTTCATATTTGTAAGATTAAATAAATAACATAACATAAGATGAGAGTACATATCATAGTTAGTGATAGATTAGAAAATTTCATCATTGTCGTAAATTTTTAACTCTGAAAAAAAATTTGGTTTGAAAATATATAGCAAAATTAACGTTCCACCATTGATGCATTCATTTTAAAATGAAATCAAATTTTCCTTCGTTATGCTACAACAACCAAATATGTCATACATATTATTACATTAATGTTTTGATCAACAATGTAGAAATGATACAACAAGCAGCTAATTGCTATTGTAAAAAATATACAATTAAAATTTGCTCTTTATTTTAAATTAATAAAATTTTGGAATTAATAATTTTAAAATTTTTCTTTCTTTTTGCAGAAAAAATTTTTGCAATTTTTTTTTAAAAAATGTCTCAACAAACGGTTATGATTAAAAAATAAAATGATATCGCTGATATTAGCAATGATCATCGAATAGTAGAAAAGATGTATTAAAGATCGATGATATTACAAATATTATACCATTTGATTGTATTTTTTTTCACATAAAATATTATCGGCGAAGTTTAAACATTTTTTAAATGTATTTTTTCAATGCATTTGATATTTTCCTACGGATTGTCTTTTTGCATTTATCAGTTTTTTTTCCTCCTCTCTCCTTTTTCCTATTTTATCTCATCTTTGTTGATTGTTAATTTCAACGGTTGGTTCCTTTTAATGTTCGAACATTTCTCACTAATATAATAATTTAGAAAATTATTTATAGATGATAGGATAAGTTATCAAATAGGATATGTATGTGTTTGGTATGATATTGATATTGGATGAAATGAAAATTCTGTGATATCAAATGAACCAATATGATCAAGTGGAGTTGGAAGCAATAGATGTTCGAAATGATTTATTATATTAATGCTTAGTATATTAATTACTTAATTTAACATATTTCGCGAGAAATAATTTCAAAATTAAAAGCAAAGAAAAAACAAAGGAGTTGAAGTATGAAGTTGAAATTAAAGCTGGAAGCCGAGAATATGTGCTATCCAACTTTTCGTATATTCCATATAATCAATTTCTTTCATATATTTATGATATTTATGATCACATATCGCAGTTCAGATGCAACAGAAGTAAGTGTTAATGTTCAAGTAAGAATTGAATTGTTCTAATTAATCCACAATTTCTGCAATATGCACAGATACTTTAATATTTATTCATTTGGCAAGGATGATATAAGAATATCTGAATTCATTATTGTGAAGTGATAATGATATTTTGAGATGATAATTATTTAATATTCTAAAATCTTTTAATCAATATCAAATTTGTTCCTTTTTGGCTCTTTTCTTATTAATTTTTTTTATCTTATTGGTTTATGAATTTTTAGCAATTTAATACTTTTCACAAGTTTACAAATGCATATCATAAAACGGAACAAATCACAGCTGCAAGCAATTTTCGTATTTGCGGTAGAGAGCTGATATATATTTTGATTAAGGTAAATTTATAAAATTTGTTTAGGACTTTTGTTTTTTTTTTTTTTAAATATAAATTATCCTTGAGTGAACTGATCATTCATTAATCGGTTGATCATTTAATTTCTCACTTCATTTTACTACAATTTTAGATTATTTGTTACCAAATCTTTCAAGTGTGAAAAGCATTTTAAATTATAAATTTCTAAGTTTAGCTTTATATGTGGAAATGATTAAATATTATCAATTGATATATGTGAACATTTTAATTCGTTGCAGATTTGTACTCCAACAAATGGTACACATCCATGCTTTCAAAGTTCTACAAATGCAACATGTAAGTAATGCGAAAATTAAATGTAAAATTAATATGAGAAGAAAAAGTTGAAGTAATTTTTCCTTACAGCCAAATTTCTTTTTCTTTTGAAATTTCAATATTATTTAAAATAATCGAGAAAAGAAATTCGAATTTTTTAGTTTCATATAAATATTTCTGAATATAAAAAAATATTCTATTCCCTAAGAAATATTCTCTGAATATAAGATTTTAAAATTCGGAAAATTTCTTTTGCGGAAATAAATCCTTGCAAAAATTGACTTATGAGAAATCGCCTTCATTGAGATGGATTTACTTCAAATGTTGCATGGAATGATTGAGACCTAGTCATTGTGACTTAAGTAAGTTAATTACTTCACAACAATTTCCCTTAATACAAGGAAGGGTTATTTTTCAATTTCCTTCTTTTACTCGTTGCAAATTCTTCCTTAGATGATTTTGTTTTTATCACTCTGTTGATTAGAATTAAATTGATCTAATAGTTATTAAGCTTTGGTTTCGACCCCGGAAACAACAGCAGTCTATGAGTTTAACATTTCAGTTGACTGCAATTGTTTTTAATGCGATGTTGATCTCACCTTTTTGGGATAACTATCATAATAAATTTGGAAGTTTACTCTACCGTTAAATTCATCATTCCTTTTAACCTGGAATTGTTTAATTCATTCGAAAATTATTGATTTTTCTATCGAAATTTCTAGACAGGATATTGAAAAATTTCGTGAAAAACAGAACAGAAGTTTGGAAAATTAATTTGTCCTATCACTTTCTTTATTTTTCTTAATTACAACGATGTTTTAGATTATGTATGAATGAGCATTTATTTAATTAACAAAGTCATTTAACGAAAATTTTCACACGAGTTGAGTGGGACTGAAAATGTACATCAATATTAAGAGATTATTAAGTTTTATCAACAAGATAAATATCACTTTTGTGGTACCTTTAAATATTCAATAAATCTGGCAATAGCCTTAATATAAAGTAAATTACAGATGCAGACATGAAATCAAATCGTAGCTATCGTCGAGGTGTTGCGACAGTTTGCTGCAGTTACGGAAAATGTTCAAAAGAATATTTGGCGACATTTTGTTGCGAGAGATCGGTTGTTGCACAATGAATTATATTATGATATTGAAAACTATCAATTACTATAATTGATTATATGAATTATATCAGTGAAGTAAATAAATGTTTGATTTAGTTTGATAAGTTTCTATTATTTAATAAAACTTGAATGAATATTTGTCATGATATTTCAGTGTAAAGCTATTTTTTTAAGATTTATCACAATAAGTTGAATAACTGATAAGTTGAAAAGATGATGAATAATTAATTAGCGTTACAATTTTAAAAATTCCACAGTCATAAGATATATTTTATTAGTTTTCAGTAATTATGATAAAAGAAGTAAATTTTTTCTTCAAAATAATTTTATCTCATTTTATATTTAAAATTTAATTTTAATTTCAATTTTTCATAAGTTTTATTTATACATATCTTTAGATAAGCGCACTCTGTATTATTTTGTTAAAACAATGAATGAATGATTTTAATGAGAATTTATATAGCCAATGGATAAGAACTGACCATCCAATTGACCAACAGCATATGTTTATGAGTCAAAAGGAAAATTTATTGCAATATGACAATAAAAATAATTGCTTTAACAGATTGATAATTCAAATTGTTTGCGGCCTTAAATGAATTCTCTAAAATCAAATCTATGCAAAATTTTTTGGATAGTAACTTTTGATAAAAACTTTTACAAAGTTATTTCTTTTTTTCTCTATGAAATATTTTAAATGAATAATTAATTAAAAACAATATTTATTGAAAAGGTATGCCAAAATGATTTTAATTATTGTATAGAACTGTTGTTTAGCCCCAAAAACGACTGGACATTGGAAGTCCAAGTTTCTGATGTTCACGTCGTCTGTATTGTCCATCTGAAATAATATCATTTATAAAGTTCAAAATTTTTTGAAGCAAATTCTTCTGGTTTACTTAGAATTTATCGCTGTGATTTGAAATACCAAAAAAAGAAGAAAATTGAGTGAAAACTTTGCAAAATCCTGAAATTGAACTTCTCAAATTAGATTATGGTACCAAAAACCATCAAAAATTTTTATTGAATGTGAAGATTTAAATTTTAAAACAAAAGAAGGTAAAATATTTGACATACCATTATTTGTGATTCTAAATATTAATGATGATTTATCGTCATTAAACTGAAATGAAGAAACTTTTAAAACTTTCATATATTATAAAACTCTCAAAAGATAACTATTGTGTTTTATAAAATTAAACATTTCAACATTTGACAGCTGCAAAAATTAACAAACTTCAATTCAATTACTCTAGGCTTCTCTTCTCTTTCCGCTCAATTTTTCTTACAGTAACTAACGATATTAGATTTTAATAATTTACAACATCGTAGTTTAGAATTACTTTAATATATGACATTGTTATTTATAATTACTTTAATATGCATAATTCATAATATACACTACAAATTCTTTCTCTTTTTAATAAATCTGAAACTTATTTGAAATAATAAAATTTATTTAAAATTTCTTAAATTTCTTTAAAATTCATTTTTGAAATAATTGATATTCTACCGTATCATCATTTCGTTTTCCCCAAAATCTGCTTGATTTAACCAATTTATTTCGTGCTTTATTCAATGCTCGTTTCTGATTCACCGATGATTGTATTGCTGGCATTTGTGTAGGTTCTTGAACCTTAATAAAATATAATAAAAGCAATATTAATTAATAATTAATTTCTTTTGTTTTTGAAAAATATTATAATTTCTGATTTAAGTTATTGTTTGTTTTATTTTCGATATAATATAGAAAATAGAATGAACGCAATGAATTATACATATTGTAATTCAATTATATTTTGCGATTTGTTGATAACATTTGAAATATAGAACGATTTGAGAATGGAAATAAGTAATGAATAAAACAATTGAACAAATGGTTGAATTTCGAAATTAATATGAAATAATAGAAATTTTCCTTATTTAAATAATTGATGATATTGATTTTATATTTGAAAATAATATAAGATTTTTGTAAAAATTAATGATCGAACAATGCATATTATTCAACCATTGAAATTTGTTGAAATTAATTATGGAAAATTTTAAGAAATTTTGTTGAAATTAATTTTATGGAAAAGTTTAATCATTATCGATCATATCATTAAAGCAGTTGTTTATTTGCAGAATTTTTGCAATAATTAATTACTTATTAATTTTTGTAGCAATTAAACACACACATTCATTAGCCGCTTTATTTTCTCCAAGAATAAATGAAAAAGTTTTATTTTTATTTTTTGAAATTTCTTTTATTTTATCTTTCCTTTTCTCTCTGTCTCCTTCTCTCTCTCTCTCTCTCTTTTTTTGAAATTCTCTTTATTTATTCATTTCTCTAAATTTGTGTTACTAAATTTTCCACTATTTTAAATGTATTTAAATGGAAAATATATTTGCAATGTTTGTTGTTGTTGTGAAAGGGAAAAAGCTTTTGATATAATTTAGGATATTTAATCAATCATTTCGATTAATTAATTTTTCAAATTTTCTTTTTTGAAAAAAGGAATAAACAAAGTTGATGTAATTAATGCGAGAAATTATTAAAAGATAGTAATTAAAAATAAATATATCTTTTAAACTCTAATTATAAATTATTTTAAAAAAATAAATAGAAATAAATAAAAAGTAGAATGAAAATTTTTATCTCACATCATATGCTTGTTCAAGTAAGCTACGATAAATAGGGCTATATTCATTGTTGAATTCATTATCATCATCCATATTATAGGAATAAATCAAACTTCTTACAATCATCATTTGCATCATAGAACAGCATAATATCGTTGTGAATAACATACTGATATTAATATATCATCGAATTTCTGTTGAATAAACTGAAATTAGGGAATATTTTGATTAATAAATGAATCATCAAATTCCTGTTAAATAAACTGAAATTGAGGAATGTCTTGATTAATAATGATAAATCGTCGAATTCCTACTTAAAAAAAAAAAACTGAAATTAGGTAATATATCATTTTAGTATTAAATCAATTAAGAAAATGAGAATGAATAACAGAATGAATATGAAAATGAATATTGGTATGAAATTTTCAACAGTGAACAATTCATTTAAATTAATCCTCTGCTGTTTAAGGTGTGATAATTTTGTACTGCAACAAATTATCACATCTTAAACAACAGAGGATTAATTAAAATGATTTATTCACCTTTTTTTTTTGCTCAAATAAAATATCAAAAAAATTATGAACTAATTTTGAAGTAATATTTATTGGTTAGGAAAAGAATTAACTAAAAAATGGAAAGAGAGAGAGAGAGAGAGAGAGAGAGGGAGAGGAAAAAATTAAGTATCTTAAATTCCCTTAAAAAATTGAAAAATGTAAAAAGTTATTAAAAATCTTAAATTATTGAAAATCATAAATTTGCATTTATTAAAATTAAAAATTAAAAAAGTTATTAATTTCATTTTTGCGATCGAAGAAAGAAAGTTCAAAAGATTATATATTTTTCATAGGCATAAATTTTCTTTTTTTTAACAATTACTATTTTATGTATTAAATGTTTGTTTCATATATTTTTAGATTCCTTTTTCTAAGGCCAATTTTATTCCTATGCTTAACAGTCCTATATACATTCTTATCATTTAAATTTAACACAAAGATTAATTAAAATAAAAGAAATAAATTGGTAGACGTTTTATATTTCTATTGTTGATTTAATAATAAACGCCATAAGTTCATCCGTAACATTCATCTGTAATGAAACAATCGCTAATTACAATTTATTGAAGTAATTTCAAATAGGAAAAAATTAAATTGAAAATAGCTGATTTTTCATTTTATTAAAATAAAAGATTGATTTTGTTTACAGCATAATAAATAATTATACATTACATAGGCTTTAGCAATATAGCAATTAAAATGAGAAATGCAAAAGGCTTAAACAATCAACTGATAAAAGATACGATAAAAAAAATTATCTCTGTTATGATGTAAAACTAATAATTATACAAAATCATTGAAAAAAAACATAAATTAAAATTCGCTATTTTCCAAATTGAAAATTAATTTAAAAAAAAAGGAATTTAAATTTCAAAAATAGTTTACTCAAAAATAGTAAATAATAAAACTAAAAATAGTTTTATTATTTTATTCTTTCAGCTTTATATTTTGTTAATAAAATAATTGAGAGCTTTCAATCTTTTTTTTTTTTGAAATTAAAATTGGAAAAAAATTAATGACAGCTTTAAGAAATATGTCAACATTTTATGAAAATTATTTTAAAACCTTTTATTAATTCTGAATATTTTTTAATATGAAATAAATTTCATTTTATAGAAAGCAATTGTTAATAATAATAATAATAATAATAATAATAATAATAATAATAATAATAATAATAGTTTAAGCCTAATTTATATCATAATATTTTTTATTCTTCATTGAAATTTTCTATCACAAAATCAATTAATTCTAAATAAATCATTGATTGTTTACGATGCTGAAATTGTAAACAACAAATAAAAATATGTGACATAATTTCTTACTGTTTTTTATAATACTAAAAATGAAACTTTTTTAATTGTTAAGAATGAAGAAGAAAAATTACATTATATTTAATCAGTGATATGATAAAAAAAAAAGGGAACACAGCCAACAAACAAAAATCATTCAAATGATAAAAGCATAGATAATGTATATATTGAATTAAATAAATGAAATAATAAGTATATTAATTAAAAATAAACAATAGTTATAATTTTAAAATGTGAACTAAAAAATATTTTCAATCTCATTTCTAGAAAAGAGCATTTTTGTTAGGAAATTTTCCGATCATTTCTTATCTTATCAGCTTTTCAGCTTATATTTTCATCTCAAATTGAATTGAACGAGAAAATTTACGATAATTTAAAATCAAATATTTTGCGTTGGAAATTTTTCATCTTCGTTTGAATAAGCCAATTTAATAGAGAAATTCATCATCCAAATGAAAATTTTTATTTCCATGCTATTTATATAATATATTATTTTTTGACATGAAATGAAACTAATTAT